GAGTGATTTCGAAAGCAGTGTAACATGGCAGCAGCTATGTGAATTCTTCCTTCATGGCTCAATACCATGCCTTAACACTGACATGTAAGGTTCAAACTCTACAGAAGAACTTGGACTAGAATGATTTATTGACATTGTTAGCCCTAGTCTCGTTTTCAATTAGTGATCTCAAAGACAGACATTACATTTAATAGATAGTTGTTAGATATCCGATCCTTGCTTCTCTCTCATTTTTAGCTGATAATTCTTTTAATTAATCTTGCGATAGCTGTCTTAACTATTAAAAAAATTAACTGATCAATTATATTTCCTCACAGCCTTCTCCATTATAAATATAACTTCCTTAGCTTGATGTTCTAAACTGAGCTAATATTCCGAGAACACTCCCACTTTTCTTATATACATGTTCTATTTGTTCTGATCTGATTCCTTCTAAATACCCCTGCGTCTTACCTGAACAGAATCCAGTCCCTGCTTCCAACTGTTCAGTCATTTTTATCTAATGATTCTTTTACCCAAAAAATAAATGTGTCCTAGGAACTAGGACCAGAATCTATGCCACCACCTGCAGGTATGTGCACTGAGCTGGAAAATTATGGTCTCCCTTACTTGCCCTTTCCTTGATCCCATGCATCTATCTGCAGGAGGGGACAGCTTCAGTGCAGGGATAGACTTCCACCCTTAACTTACTTATAGACTGGTAAACATGGAACGCCATTTGAGAGAAATTAAGGTTTGAACTAAGACAGGCACCAAACTCATTTCCTAAGTAACCTGAGTGACACTGCAAGATTAAAAACAAATAGGGCAGCTAACACTTCCCATGTTCTAAAAGAAAAGAATATGCAAGTCAGACAGCTTGTCACTTTCTGATCACAATTCCTAGGACACATATGCTTTTTGCATAAATCTGAGAGAGAGATTTGAACCATGAGCCCTGGTTTTACATAATTCTCAGGACAACAAATTAGGCATCTAACTCCAAGTGTGAGCTGTAACTTCCTCAGTACCGTGTTCTCTATTGACTATTTTATACACCTCTGTACCTCAGCATACGCCTACGTTTTACAAGGCATTAGGAAGACAACTTATACATGTGATCGCATGTCAGAAACCAGGAGTGTACAAATAAAGCACTTAGAACTACTATGCATTAGGCCTTTTCTGGATCTTACTGCAAGCATATGAATTGATTGCTCTGCTAGATGAAGTTTTATATCTGTTAGAAGAACACACTGCGTAATCAGTCAGCTCCTTCTTACCTGCAGTTATCATTGATTTAAAGCAAGATTTCTGGTCTATACGTGGCCAGATAATGTATTTTGCCTTTGGTCTCTTGTGCCGCAGTGTTAAAAAACACAGAGTTAGACTCATGCCAGTTGCCATAGGAACCACAAAGCAATTGGTCACTGTCCGGACACCTAAAACAATAAAAACCACACAAAAAAGCACATAAAAAAGCACATAAAAAGCAAGTCAGAAATGAACACGAAGAACCCATGACATGCCCCCACAAATGAAAGGTATTTTCAGATTTACACCTACCAGCCAGCTTTAAAATATCCAGAACTACTGAATTAGTAAGTTTGTTCAAAAGGCTGGACCCTGCAGCTTTAGGCTGGACCGCAGAAATATCACCTGACCTTCCAATTCCATGGATCAACCTAAACAAAAAAGGATGAAAACATACATCAAGTTTTTTCACATCCCAAAGCAATAATTCTTGCTGACTGAAGAGAAATTAATTTGATAACAATTGTGGAAAATGCTGTATCCGATGCAACATCAATATCTGCTATAATGAGTTCCATTATAACAACTGCATACATTTGCATGAAACTGTCACTTTTATTTTTTTTTAACAGTAGATTAACAACGTTCCACTACGCAAGTAAAAACTTTGAGAAGACCCACAGTAGCCACACCTTTAGCATCTGGCAGGCTTCCTTTTAAGCGCACCTCAGCACTTCTTGGTATCTGTTGAATTAGCATTATAAATGCTGACATGTTCAGACACACAACTCCAAGGAAAACAAAAATCAGTTGCCTATAGTGTGGCATACCATAGACATAGTGGTATTACATAGATACTCCCCTGAAAAATGCTTCATCTCCACAGGGCAAAGAAATAATATATACTGTGCCAAAATGTCCTGAAAAAGAGTTAGGTTAATGTATGACTTTGCCCATCTTTTTCTACGTCTTCACTTCATCTACCTCATTCTATTATTCAATATTATGTATCATGCAATACCATCTCTCTCTGCATTCTGTTTATAAATTATGTTCATAAACTGCGTTTATAAATGTTGGATATTATTTAGCACCTTTCAGGAGTGAGGATCCCAAAATCGTGTATAAAATATAAGCTTAGAGAACTAACTTTACCCATGGCTGAAATGCAGCAGCTGCTCAAGTAAGCTAGTAACCATACACATCTATTTATGGCTTTAATTCTGTTTTTGTCTTGGGAATAGAGTAAAATGCAGTCTGATGAGTGTATGGAATTTAGAACTTCTTGGAGCATAGTTTTACAGCTTAATTTTTTTTTCCCATTTCAAGCTATAGGTTGAAATCAACAATAGCTTGATAGTTAATTGACACTTGCACATAACCCTCACTCCATCAAAAATTCTGCTGCTATGTTCTTAATAGCTTTCTCATACTACTACTTTTTCTTTTCTGCACATAGGTACTCCTTCCTAAGGAGCAATCCTTTCTAAGCCTGGCCCTTAGAATTTATTAAGCTGAAAGTAAAGACCGCTTGAAAAACATCTCCTGCTACCTCCATCACTCCCAAAGTTACCTGTGCCACTTATTGCAGAAATAAGTGGAGTGGAGGATGCCTCTTACCTTGCTATTGCTGACACTCATAGGTGAAGGCGAGATGCCAGGTGACAGAGCTGCATGAGACCAATAGTAGCTAAATGCCAGCCCAGGCTCTCTCTGGCCAGAAGCTGGGCACGCTTTCTCCAGCATTGTCAGAAAGCAATAGCTCCTCGGATGCTCTCCCCAGTGTGACCCTCTACCTCCCCTCACCATACATATCCTAGAGAGCAGTACAGAAAACAAAAAAAGCCTAACTGATGTATTACTGGCTTTCTTCATTAATTTTTCATGGTACTGTAGGGCTTATGAAAGCAATTAAACCTAAGTAATTCAACTTCCATATGGTAAAGCTTACTAAGTTTCTGGACTCTAATATGCTTTTGTGTTACTCTTTCAAAGAGAAACATTCCAGGAAATTTCATTTCGTTTCATTCCTGTTAGATAAAACATCACAGCAAGGCACTAAGCACAGAACTCTACGCAAAAAAAAGAGTATATGCATAAAGAAATTAATGCAGAGCATCTAGAATTATAGCACCCAACGTATCCATCAAGTGTCAGAAGGGCTACAAACTATTAAAAGCTCTTCTTGTCTTTATAGATCTCCTTACTTCATATAAAGTCTATTATAGATGGACTGGGCTTTCATGTGCATATCAACTAATCACATAATAAAGATATTAATGAATAAACAAAATACAAATAGCTGTTCACTAGGAACATTCGATACTTTACAACTACAATATGCAGTAGCTTTTATTAATATACAGATGAAAAGCTGTACAGTACTAAAAACTTCAAGTAATGCAGATTATTTTAAAACAGGAAGATCTCTGCTTCCCTTGCATGCAGTCAACCCAACATCTTAAGCTTCTACCAGTTCAGCATACAGGACATAACCCTGACAAAAGATTTTTGTTTCATTCAAGACTTTCCAATGAGTTATTAATGAAAATTCAATACATAAAGTTGCATCAATTCGATATCGCATTACATTGTTTTTCTCAAATGCTATCAAGGTCTCGGATAACAAGACACAATAAAACATGCTATTTGAAAGCATTAATAACAAATGTGAATAATTCAAATTGCCAATAATTTGTACCTGTAATGCCTTCGGGCAACGAGTCCTGACGCCACTCTTCCTTCCCTCTCACCCACACCGCAGTTGCCCAGAAAGTTATTGCTATCCATAATAGCAAGTTCATGAAGAAACAGTTCAATAGTGCTTTCATCCCATCCATCTTCAGGACATTTTCCCTTAATAATAATAATGTAAAGGTAACTACCAAACTTGGAACTTAGAAATGAACAAACCTTTATGCAAATTGTTTGATTAATGTTACCCTTCTTTCCCACGCTGAACAGCAGTTTGTATTTTCATTATGCTGTTTTATATTACCTGATGTTATCAAACTGTATTCAGAGAAAAGTTAAATAATGATTTTTTCATATATTAAGTGCAATTACATTAGCATATCCTCATATTAAAATAGTCGGATATTTTTCACTTTCAAGTGTTCCTTAAGGTACACACAAAACAACTGCAGCACATATATTTTAATTACTCCCTAGAAGACTATAGATTATTTGATGTATTCTCTAGACAAGAATCTACTACTACAGGAATTCAACAGAGAAAACTGAATGAAAGGGATATAATTGGGTATTATAGAATCAAAAATATTAATTATGAGCAGAAAGGACATATAGTTTCACTTGCAACACATCTTCCTATCTGCGTATTTTCCTTTCTAGTTATTATCTTATAGGCAAGGAAATCACAGAATATAACGTGTCAAAACCTGCACCAGAGACATGCTCTTTCTTGTGCTCTTTACTGTATTAAGCACTGCACTCATCTTTGCAAACTGCAGAAAATTTACCTCAGAGACAAGGTACCATAAACCCATGAAGCATTACTGTAGCAGCTCAGAGGCTTTTTTTCACATGTCCCAATAACAGTAAAATGAACTCAGTAAAACTAATTCATTTCTGAAGTGTGGTATGAAAGTCAAGTTTGAAACGGTGGACGATGTGACTAAGGACGTTCGAGAACTGAAACATCTGAGAATTCATTGATAATGATTTCTGTACATTGGAGACAAAGAAATACATCGGTTTGGCACCTTACAAGTATTATTTTTTATCTCATGTTAGTACCTTATTTTAAAAAATTTCTTTAACTGTTTGCTGGGCCTTTCTCAGCGAACACACAACCCAAGGCAATGGTTTTCTACTCCCAAACGTGGCCTTTCATTTCGGGGCTCTATAAGGTCTCTGCCACCGCGCAAAGCGAGCCGAGCTCTCCCGAGCCACCTCGCCCGACACCGCGGGAGCGCCGTGCCCCTGCCCACCGGCACGGTGGGGTAAGGGGGGCTGGAAAACCAGTGTGGGAGCTGCTGGGGCGGAACGGCCCGGCTCTCCGCAGGGACCAGCAGGCCTGCGTGCTCACGGGGCTGTGCGGGGACGCTCCGGCCATGCCCGAGCCGGGCGGAGGACAGGTGG